AAGGTTGAGACACCCTGGTCTGGGTGTCCATGGAACAAGTAGCATTTCTGTGAAAGCTACCCTGGCATTCTTCACCTTCCATCTGCTAATTAGTACTTTGAGGTTGTCCTCTGGGACTTAGAATAGAATAACAGAGTTGGAAGGGACCTTGGAGGTCTTCTAGTCCAACCCCCTGCCTAGGCAGGAAACTCTACACCACTTCAGACAAATGGCTGTCCAACATCTGTTTAAAATCTTCCAGTATTGGAGCATTCACAACTTCTGGAGGGCAAGTTGTCCCACTGATTAATTTTTCCCAATGTCAGGAAATTCCTCCTTAGTTTTAGGTTGCTTCTCTCCTTGATGAGTTTCCACCCATTGCTTCTTGTCCTGCCTTCAGCTGCTTTGGAGAATAGCTTGACTCCCTCTTTTTGGGGCAGCCCCTGAGTTGTTGGAACACCACTATCACGTCTCTCCTGGACCTTCTTTTTTTTCATTAGACTAGACATACCCAGTTCCTGCAACCGTTCTTCATACGTTTTAGCTTTGTTTAACATTGCTAAGTTTCTTGGTGCCAACAAGAACTTGTGAGTACCAGCTCCTCTCTTGCATTATCCATAGATTGTTTAGATCGGGACCTCCAAATTTGTCCACTTTAAGACTTGTCAGCATGTCTAACTGAGGAATTCTGGGAGTTGAAGTCCACAAGTCTTAAAAGTGGCCAAGTTTGGAGAGCCCTGATCTAGATGGACACTGATGCCTATAAATTTTGCGTTGGGTAGATCAATTTCCATGTATTCTACCTGTTCGTCATAAGCCCTTCTATTTGTGTTTCTAATTATCCAATCACTCAAAGCCAAGAGTCCTCAGCTCCCTGGAAGAACCTAATTAGTATAATTAGTACCAGAAGATGGGTGTGTTCCTCTCTCCAACATTTGCATCTTCCTTAAGCAAATACCCTCAACATGATGTTATTCTTCTCAAAAGACACCCTTCTCCTACCAAGCCACAGGAGCCATCATCTCTGCTGTTAGAAGAAGCTGTCCCAGCCTAGACTTAGAGAGTCTTGCTAAACATCTACAACTTGGCCACTATTTCAAGGAAATAAGTTCCTTCCGAAATGCCATGTGCTGCCCCCCTCACTCACACCCACACTTAACAAGGGTTTATGAATGTTCCCCAGCAATTCCCCTCACCCAAAACCCAGCACTGTCTCAAATAAGTCCAGCCAAAAGCAGGCCAATGCTGGTCCACAGAGCAAGGGCCCAATGAGTCCACAGGGCAAAGTTCCCCAAAGAAGACAAATCCACCAGGCAAAATTAATTCCACAACATGAAGAAAAGTAATCAAATATCATTAGAAGCCCATGAATTATTCTCCAAGGCAAATCCTTGTAATTCCACATTCAATGAAGTAGAGTGGAAAGTAGAGTGGAAAGATCAAGGGAAGTCTTAATACCACTCTATAAAGCCTTAGTAAGACCACACCAAGAGTACTGCATCCAGTTTTGGTCACCACACTATAAAAAAGATGTTGAGACTCTAGAAAGAGTGCAGAGAAGAGCAACCAGGATGATTAGGGGACAGGGGGCTAAAACGTACAATGATCAGTTACAGGAACCGGGCATGCCCAGTTCCTGCAACCGTTCTTCATGTTAGCTGTACATAATTACCTGTACAAGGCCAAACGGAGCAGGAAGTCAACACAGAGCTTCAGGCTTCAAACCGACCAGTATGAACAAAGTTGCTTCCTGCAAAGGCTCCTGTCCCTTTGCTCCTTCTTTATGTCTTTTGGGAGAGGCCAATCATCTCCAAGCCTTACTCCTGAGTCGCCCCTTTTGTCTTAACTGTTCTTGCCTTCTGACAGCTCTGTGCAAGCACACACTGGGAACAGGCTCCCTCTGTTCCTCTGCCTCACTGCTGTCAGATTCTGGAGGCTCCAGAGTCAGCACATAACTCTCAGATGGCCCTGACCCCATCTCTGTGTCTGACGCAGATCCCTCGTCAGAGCCCTCCCCAGACTCCAGGACTGGCCCATGTTCCTCCCCACTGTCCAACTCTGCTGCCAGCTCCACAGGCCGCTGGCGGACCACAACACTTACAATTGGTAGAAAGTCTGGTTTCAAACCACGGCAATGGATTGATATAAATTAGATAGACTTTTGTACCGTTGATATATTCGAGACCTCTGGGCTAACGAATGTATTTCCTCCTAGGAAAAATTGCAGAAAATCAATAACGACCTTGCTGTTTTTATTTATGACATGCAAACTATGCCAAAGGCCAGTTAGAAACACCAGAGAGTAAAAACTTTTGGCCTGTAAGAAATGCAATTCCCGCCCCCCTTTTAGGAAATTAGATATTTTATAATGCACAGCGTAGATGATATTTTTTTGCCTGGAGCCATGTGTTGGAAAGTGTGATTGTAGCAAAGACAGGCATTGAAGTTTGTGGTGCATTAAGAATCTGCAGGTCTCTTTGGAAACCTGACACTGATCCTTTGATCTGGGGCTGGTATGTGGGTGCATGAGTTTGTGTAATAAAACAAGAAAAGGAACCTAAATAGCCCCGGACATGAAAGCCAATAAATTTGAGGAACTTTCTTGCCTAAATTACATCTGAATAAAAGTCTCTTAGCTTCAAGGTTAAAGTTCCCCCGTTGGGACTTGTAGATGTATAATAACCTATAAAAGTCTTTGCATGATTGACATGTGAAGGTCAAGCATAACCCAATTCTAAATGCCAGTTTCTCATCTGCTTTTCCTTATGGGGCTGGAGGTGTCTGTTTGGATAAAGCTAATAGGCACCCTTATCAAGCTTAATTTTTTACCAATAAAGCATCATAGATGTATCCTTCAAAACCCCAGAAGTTTGATTTCAAGGAGATGTTACTTAATATTTTTGGGTGTTTGATACAGATGTTGTCATAGCCCATATCTGTCTCCTTCCTTCCTTCCTTCCTTCCTTCCTTCCTTCCTTCCTTCCTTCCTTCCTTCCTTCCCTCCTTCCCTCCTTTCTTTTCTCCCTCTCCCTCTCCCCTCTCTCTTTCTCTCTTTTTCTTACTTTCTGTTTCCTTTCTCTTTCTGTCTTTTTCTGACTTGTTTTCTGTTCTAGAAGCTGAAATAAGCTAAAGACTAGTTTTATTACCAGAGGGAAAAGAAGAGGAAAAGTACAAATCTCTTTATTAGTGAAAATCATGGATTTGGCTGTGTTTAGTTATCTGAAGATGTATGTTTAAAGCAGGTCTTAGCAGCAGTGGAGGCATATGGCAACATTTGCTTCAGGCACAGACGCCATCTTGTCTGGCTCCTCAAATACTACTATTTGGCCAAGTTTGTCGTTTTTTTTAAAAAAAGCTTTGTGCACCAGACATTGCTGTGAGGTATAAATTATTCAAATATATAAATAAATTAGCAGATACGTTGTTTTACTGATTTGTGTAGGAGAAAGAGTGGCATAACCTAGGGGGTGGAGTGAAGAGAGGGCTCAGCCTAGAATCCCTACGTAGCCGCAAACAAAATCCAACCCTCCTTGAGTGCCGTTAACCCTTATCTTAATTCTAACCAGGTGCTAATTGTTAGTTGAGAAGATTCCTGTACAGAGACTTTTAGCAAGAAATCAGTTTAATTGAGCATGTGTGAACCTGGTTTTTCATGCCTGACAGTTTGTGCATATTCATAAGGAAAAAGGTTACCATGATTTTAATCCCTGCCTGGCTTTAACAGAATAACAGAGTTGGAAGGGACCTTGGAGGTCTTCTAGTCCAACCCACTGCCCATGCAGGAAACCCTGCACCACTTGAGACAAATGGTTATCCAACATCTTTTTAAAAACTTCCAGTGTTGGAGCATTCACAACTTCTGAAGGGAAGCTGTTCCACTGATTAATTGTTCTCACTGTTAGGAAATTTCTCCTTAGTTCTAAGTTGTTTCTCTCCTTGATTAGTTTCCACCTATTGTTTCTTGTTCTACCTTCAGGTATTTTGGAGAATAGTGTTCTGACCTAGGCTTCTCAAAATCATGAAGCCGACTCTTCGTCCCAATAAAACCCCTTTTATTTAGTTTAAAGTGAATTCCTCTCCAGCAAAATCCCGGCCAACAGTCTTTCAAGAGAATTCACAACTACAGACCTTTATCAGCCTTGGAGAGTTGCCAGGCTGATATCTTCCAAACGCCACTCTGTAGCAGACAATACTTGGCAAGAAGTCAGGAAAAGATTTTCACCCTAATGAATTGAACTAATTGTCTCCTGCAAACCCCACTCCCCTTTCACTGCACTTTATTCCCTATGGAAGGGGCCATTAGTTAGTTAGTTAATTTACTTTATTGTCATTGCACCTTGTACAACAAAATCAAATACCATCTTCACCATTCACTGTCCACCTGAGGCTTTACTCCTGAGTCGACCCTTGTTCCTTAACTGTTTTCTTCTCCTGGCAGCTCTGTGCATGCGCACACTGGGAACAGGCTCCAGCTGTTCTTCTTCCCCACTGATGTCCGACTCCGAAGGCAGCTAATAACTGTTGGACAGCCCTGGCCCCATCTCTGCCTCCCATGCAAAGCCCTCGTCAGAGCCTTCCCCAGACTCCAGGACTGGCCCATGTTCCTCCCTAACCTCCTCACTGTCCGAATCTGCCGCCAGCTCTGCTGACTGCTGGTGGGTCACAACAAATAGGTTGACCCCTTCTTCTTTGTGGCAGCCCCTTAGATATTGGAAGACTGCTATCATGTCACCCCGAGTCCTTCTTTTTACTAGACTAGAGACGTACCCAATTCCTGCAACCAATTTTTCATTTGTTAAATAGCCTGTGATGGGATACTAGCAGGAGAACCTATGTGCTGACATCAAGATGACCAGAGTTTTGATCAGTTTCTTAGAACCGAATAGATCTATTTCCTTTAAACATCTTGGACATAATATAACTTGGTCCAGATTCGTTTATGTTCTCTGGGTAAGTGTTGACAAGACCTAGAATTCTCACATAACATTGTTTGTACTTCCTTCCTTTCCTTTTTGTCTCAGCTATTAACCATCGATGACAACTTCTGCGGTCTGGATATGAATGCCCCTCTTGGAGTGTCCGAGATGGTACGAGGACTGCCCATCTTCACCGAAGATCAGGACAGGATGACATCGGTCATCGCCTACATCTATAAGAACCATTCGTTGGCCTTCGTGGGTACCAAAAGTGGCAATTTAAAGAAGGTAGGACTGGATTTTCTGAAGTCATTGTGGCATGCCGCAGGTTGAATTTGTTAATGGTCTTGATCGATGGAAGGACGAGCTTCTGATTCCCAAGGATTGCTGTAGTTTTGGTGAAGCTTTGCTACTGGTTTGAAGAGAAACTGGTTTTGTGTAAATCGATCAATGTGAGAATGAGAGGCCTTGAGATCTGCCTAGCTAGCTACCGTGTTTCTCACAGAATAAGGCCAGGCCTTATTTTTTTTTGACCCCTGAAAAAACGGCTAGGCCATCTTTTGGGGGGTGACTTAATTTCCTCCCACACCTAGAGCGGCCCATATGCACGTACCTCGCCGCGAGGCCGCTTCTATTGGCAGATGAAAGCTCCCTTGAAGGCAGAGTCCCCAGCCGCTTCAGGGCGTGGCGTGGCTACCCGTGTCCCCTCGCCTTTAGGCAGTCTCTTTCGAGCGATGGAAGCTCCCCAAGTGCAGTCAACAGCCACTTCGATCGGCCGGTAGAAGCGGCCTTGCGGCGAGGGGAGTGTGTGTGTGCACTCGCCCCGAGGCCGCTTCTACCGGCCGATCGAAGTGGTTGGTGACTGCATTTGGGGAGCTTCCATCGCCCGAAAGAGACTTCCTAAAGGCGAGGGGACATGGGCAGCCACGTCACGCCCTGAAGCGGCTGGGGACTCTGCCTTCAAGGGAGCTTCTATCGGCTATCGGGGTAATCTAGCTCAGGCTACCTGCAGGGGACTCCTAAAGGCAAGTTTTCTCCCACCCCCCACCCCCGCCCTTCCCCCCCCATTTCTCTTCACCTCGTTGTAGTGCTAACGAACGATGTGAGAAATGGCGGGGAAACGCATGGTTTAAATAGGCCTAAATTTTGGGGGCGGGGGTTAATTGCACCTCATGCCTAGAAATCATGCTGGGCCTTCCTATTGGTGGAGGCCCTATTGTTGGAGAAACACGGTAGGTTCTGGATTAGGCATTTGTGGTTTGGAATTGTGGTGTTTAAATCAACATGGAACATAACTGGAGTTATGGGACAAGTAAATTTTATTCCCATTTTTCCCCCAGAGTATGGAAAGGAAGCTGATCTTATCAAGGATGGTATTTGTATTTATTATAAGAGTCATGGTTGTACATTTGGACAATTAATCTAAAGTTTAGTGGGCCAGTAAAGACTTCACAAATTGTCTGTTGCTTAAGTTGTGTCCATGCTCAGCACATACATATATTGTGGCCCACAAGAGTGTATTTATTGATGCTCCAAGAGTGTATTTATTGATGCTCCAAGAATTTCTTTATTGATTATCCAAGAGTTTCTTTATTGATTATCTAAGAAAGTAAAACTCAACTTTGTTCACTTTGGATTTATTGAATAGTCAATGTGATGTCATCTCATTAGAAGTCTGTTTTTTGGTTTTGGTTTCTATTGTGCATCGTTCACAGAGCGGGAAGCTCATTGTTGCATGAAATATGTGGTTTTAGACTCTTACAAGAATGGAATATTTGCATTGTGGATTCCGGAGGTAGGATTGAAAAAGGCATTTGACTCTGGAGAATTTTGATAGTTTTGATTGTCTCTCAAGATCTATTGGAGATGACCTTCTAATGGAGAGAAACTGGCCTAGTGTGTTAATTGCCAGAGTTTAACTGTCTGCTCATTTATTCTACCCCTGTATGAGTACATACTTAGTTCTTGTTCATATATTCTAATCCTAAATGTAAAATTCTCTAGGGAGGAACTGAAGAGTAAATTTTTGCCACACAGTGAGAACCCAACTGGATCTCGTAATGGTTTCTTGTCAATTAAAATATAATTTTGAAACTTGCAGCCTGCTTTTAATAGCCTGGATCTCTCTGGATGTACCACTCTACAATCCTTACATTCTTCCACTCACTGAGAATTATGAGAGAAATAAGATAATATATACCGTATGTCTATAAAAGATGCCATAGAGGGTTCGGTTGGTAATTCAGTCTTTTTTGAATAAAGCTAAATCATTGTGTCTTAAGAATGGGTCACCCGAAAGATGATCAATTTATACATAAAAGGAAATGTTATATTGTGTTCTCGGATTTTGGACTTAGGACATTCCTGGGCATTGATCCATGTGAAGTTGTGTTCTTTCTTTGGTTTGCATATTCTAAGCCTAGCCTTTGTCCTGTAGTCAACATTAAAACCATGTCTATTTCTCTTAAATGTATGAAATTGTTCTTTATGAACTAGTTTTTTTTTTTAGTGTGTTAGAAATGCTAAACGCAGTGTTCTACGAGGAAACAACTTTTAAGTCTCCATGGATGCATTTTCATCTTTGAAAACAGGTCATGGTATCTCGATGGGCATCACAAAACATCCATTAAATGACAAAAAATGTGGTTTTTGTGTCCACCATTTGCCTAAAATGCCAGAATACTTTTATCATCTCCTACAATTTCTGAGAAAGTGTGGACAGACTTGCAACCAAATTACAGATTTCATTGTTTCTTTCTAACAATGGCTTGGGGAATCTATCTGGGCCTGAAAGCTCTCTGGAAAATAAAAATAACGATGCTTTGTTGTTTGTTGTAAACCACCTTCTTATTTAATCTTGAAAATGAGAGAATCTTAAATCAAATTGAGCAGCCCCAAAAGGCTGGGTTTTGTATTCTTATTGACTTGCCTTAGCACTATCTCCTAAATGTTTGGGTCTCCTCCCTCAATATTTGGTCTTCTCTCTAGTTTAGAAAACACAAGATATTGAAGAATCCTTTTTTTAATTTTGTTTTGAAATGATTCCCTTTCTCTTTACCCCTTTCCCAATCCCTTCAAGTTGAAAATTTCGCTGCAGGAAGATATAAATAATAGTTCCGAGTTTAGCTCATTGCTATTCCAAACTCATCTCATTGGCAAGGATCTTAGAAGTGCAAAGTGAGGGGAAAAAATAACTTTCTGCTGGAGTAAATTACTTGTTCTGTGTCATCATCTTCAGCAGGTTTAAACAAAACCCACACCCCAGCGTACAATACAGGTTATCCTTGACTTACGACCCCAATTGAGGCCAAAATTTCTGCTGTTAAGTGAGACATTTTGTCATGTGAATTTTGCCTCATTTCACAACCTTCTTTGTCACAGTTGTTAAGTGGATCACCACAGTTAATAAGCAGATTAAAACAGATTAAACAGATAATCAGAGTGGGAAGGGACCTTGTAGGTCATCTAGTCCAACCCCCTCCTGCCCAAGCAGGAGACCCTACACCATTTCTGACAGATGGCAGTCCAGTCTCTTCTTGAAAGCTTCCCGGGGTGAAGCTCCCACAACTTCCGAAGGCAACTTCTGTTCCATGGGTGGATTGTTCTCATTGTCAGGAAAAATTCTCCTTATTTCCAGGTTGAATCTCTCCTTGGTCAGTTTCCATCCATTATTCCTTGTCTGGCCTTCAGCTGCTTTGGAAAATAGCTTGACCCCTTCCTCCTCTCTGGGGCAGCCCCTCAAATATTGGAAGACTGCTATCCTGTCTCCCCTTGACTTACTTAATCCTTGACTTACGACCACAATTGAACCCAAAATGTCCATTGCTAAGCAACACAGCTGCTAAGTGAATTTTGCCCCATTTTACGACCTTTCTTGTCCCAGTTGTTAAGTGTATCACTGCAACCATTAATTTAGTAACATGGTCGTTAAGTGAATCTGGCTCCCCCCCGTCTTTACTCGTCAGAAGGTCACAAAAAGTGATCACATGACCCCAGGACACTTCAACTGTCATAAACCAGTTGCCAAGTGCCTCAATTTTGATCCCAAGGGGATACTGCAAAGGTCACAAGGATGAAAAATGGCCATAAGTCCCTTTTTTCAGTGCCATCATAACGCCGAATGGTCACTAAAGAGATAGCTGTAAGTTGACGCCTTCCTGTCTTTGGTAATCTTTGACAACAATAAATATTTGAGAACGGCACGGAGATCTCTGTGTGCGTCGAGTTAACACGTAACAAGAGAGTAGTAGGACAGTGATGGCTAACCTTTGCCAAAAGTGTGCTCTCTCATGCCTGCACCCATGATGCAATGCGCATGTGACTCCCCGACCCCATGCACGCGCGATTTCCCCTCCACACCGCATGCCTCTGCGTATGCTCAAACAATCCCTCCGCACGCCGCATGCCTCTGCGACTCCCATGCATGTGTCTCCCTCTGCACATACGTGGCAGATACCCAACCATCAGCTGGCTGGCGGTGGCGCGCACGCACATGCACAATGCGGCTCTTCCGGGCGACCACTTGCATGCTGGCAGAAGTGGCTCTGCGTGCCACTTCTGGCACCTGTGCCATAGCTTTGTCATCACGGTAGTAGGAGGTTAACATCAGGGGTGGAATTCAGTCGGTACGGACTGGTTCGGGCGAACTGGGAGTTCTAGCGACGAGTTGTCCCTGCCCACTGCGCTAATCTCCTATATTTCCTTTGTTTGAAGCCCAGCTGATAGGTGTGGTAGAGCATATTTTAACTGTTTAAGTTTTTATTTTTATTTTTTATTTTATTTATTTATTTATTTTTGTCAATTGCTTACAAGATAATAGGTATAAGTAAAAAACATAGTTATGCATACATGGATACATATAAGAAAGAAAAAGAAAAAGAAAAAAAAGGACAGGGATGGTAGGCACATTGGTGCGCTTATGCACGCCCCCTACAGACCTCTTAGATCAACAGTAGACAGTCTAAGGTTGAAGTTTATGGAGTTTTGGGAAGAAACCACAGAGTCAGGTAGAGTATTCCAGACATTGACCACTCTGTTGCAGAAGTCGTATTTCCTGCAATCAAGTTTGATGCGGTTTACCTTGAGTTTCTATCTATTGTGTGCTCTTGTATTGTTATGGTTGAAGCTGAAGTAATCATTGATTTAGAGCTAACAGTTGCAGGTACTGGGCCTGGCTAGTCTAGTAAAGAGAAGGACCAGGGGAGACATGATAGAGGTCTTCCAATATTTGAGGGGCTGCCACAGAGAGGAGGAAGGGGTCAAGCTATTTTCCAAAGCACCTGAAGGTCAGACAAGGAATAATGGATGGAAACTGAACAAGGAGAGATTCAACCTGGAAATAAGGAGAAACTGTCTGACAGTGAGAACAATCAACACACGGAACAGAAGTTGCCCTTGGAAGTTGTGGGAGCGCCATCACTTGAGACTTTCAAGAAGAGATTGGATTGCCATTTGTCAGAAATGGTGTAGGGTCTCCTGCTTGGGCAGGAGGGGGTTGGACTAGATGTCCTACAAGGTCCCTTCCGACTCTGATTATCTGTTCTCTGTTATTTAAAACGCACTGTGCGTGTGCTCACCAAACCGGTTGTTACACTGGTTGAATCCCACCACTGGTTAACATGCGGCACCTTTACACATTCAGTTCGTGGGACTTTTTCCCCCGGTCAGGCCATCGGCCTGGCACAGTAAAGGGATGAGTTAGTTAATTTAATGGTCCTTTCCTGGAATCGATTGTCCAGTCTTAAATATTTTACCTGGTAACCATCATGTGAGAAAAGTAGTCTTTTTTTGGCAGGTTGAAGGTTTCAAGAGCAGATGTTCCCTGTAAGGCCTTTTCCCTCCCTTCTGTCTTTGCAAAAATGTAGGGCACGGTCGCATTCCCAAATAAACTTTAATCACTTTGGAAATGATTGGGGCTCAGTATAGTTGAGTTTAGGGGCAAAGCATGATGTATCCCTCAGTTGGTCCAAAAGTGGACATACCTCTTCTAAAGTCATTTAGCAAGTTGATTTCATCCTTACTTAACAAGCTTTTGCAAAAAAAAAAAAAGATACCTCCTGTTATTCGTTTATTGCAAGATACGGTGTCATTTTAAGCTGAAAATCTGAATTATAACATTGAAACGCGCTCCAGGGTGGGTTTATGCAATTATTTTAACCCAATTGCTGAATTATCCTCTTTGGGGGAACTTAAACAAATACGTTGAGCCAAAACAGACTTAAAACGGCCTGAGTTTATTCCTGGAAAAATGCAACCTATAAATGAATCGTGAATCACTGTGGCTCAAAATTTGTTTTCTGCAGAAGTGCCAACAGTTCATCAAAAAAAAAAAATCTTTGTGATGTCACTTAAACTGGGGAACAGGGACCAACAATAACAAAAGGCAGTGGAAATTGTTGGCATGTTAACTGATTTTTAGAAACTTATAGCATCCGGGCAATCTTAGATCACTTCGGCAAGCGATTTGGCTGCAGGAAAGATTTGAGGAATTGCAAAGGAAGCTGTGGCCAGAGCAATAAAAAAAAACACATTGACTAATTGCACTGGGAAATGTTGCTGTATCATAAATTTAAATGTAATGAAATGTGACTTCATACAGTGATTGTAGCGCCTGGACCAGAGTTTATTAAGTGGCTCGAGACAAGCAAACACGAAACTAGAAATATGGACCTATCCACTGGTTTATTGTAAAGATTGCAAGATAATGTATGCAAAGTACTTGCATACTCTATAACGTGCCATATAAATTATTATTATTGTCATTGTTATTATTGTTCCAGTGATGTATTTCCGTTTCCATGTTGTCTTTCGCCTTGTCGACTCTTGGCTGTGGACAGGTTTAAAAAACACACCGATTTTTTATATTTCCTCTTCCCCGTGCAGTTTTAGAATTGATGGATGTTTGTTATTTATGTGTTTTATATAAAGTTGATACGGATCGTATTTCAAACTCCTGAGGTGTCCTCTTCGTGAAGCTGTTCCAAGCTACCCAGAAGCATAAAACAACCTCCGTTGGTTGATAAACAAATGTCATCCATGTCAAAGGGATTTTTTCCAGTGACACATGCAATTGAAGTAAAATATTGTGCTTTACAAGAGTATATTATTAAAATGAAAATGCAGAGTGCATTGTGAGCCTGCAGAGGTAACCAAGACAACAAAGGCACAGGCTGAGAAAGCTGGAATGGAGAAGAACAGGGAGTAAAAGAATGGAGCAGAGAGATTAAAAACACCCCTCCGTGTTCTCTGCGGAAAGGATTTAGAGGTGGTCCTTGACTTAGGACCACAACGGAGACCCAAATTTCTGTTGCTAAGCAAGACAGTTGTTGTGAACTTTACGACTTTTCTTTGCCATAGTTGTTAAGTGAATCATTGCAATTGTTAAGTTAATCATATGGTTGTTAAGTGGCTTCCTCTTAACTTTGCTGGTTGGAAGGTCGGAAAAGGGAATCGATCGTGTGATTCGGGGACACCGCAACCCATCATAAGTATGAGTCAGTTGCCAAGCACCTAAATTTTGATCGTGTGATCATGGGGATGCTGCCAAGTGTGAAAAAACAGTCATAAGTTACTTTTTTTCAGTGCTGTTGTAACTTTAAATGGTCACTAAATGAATGGTTGTAAGTTGAGGAATACCTGTATTGTGCTCCTTGATTCAAGTTTTTCCTCTGCTTGCAACTGATGGCCACAAGGTACCTGTGTTTTCCTGAAAATAAGACCATGTTTTATATTAATTTTTGCTCCAAAAGATGCATTAGGGTTTATTTTCCAGTTAGGTCTTATTTTACTGGGTATCTGGTGTGAATGCTTTCTGTGTTGGAGTTGCAGAAACCCCATGTCAACGGTCTTTAAGAAGGTGACATCCCATCTGGGTAAGGATAGTGTGTAGGATGGAATCAGAATTGCGTAAATGTCAGATTCTGTTTGAAGGGCCACCCGGTCTTGGTGCCCACAGGTTCTGAGAGATTTATGAATTAGATTTTTTTATCATACTTTTGTTTCCTTTTAAGCTATTCAAAGGAGTGAGCAGACGTATTACCTCTTCCTCCTCCTTTCCCCATAACAACAACCCTGTAAGCTGAGTTGGACAGAGGGAGTCAGCTCAAGTCACCCAGCAGACTTTCATGCCTCAGACGAGACTAGAACTCACAGTTTCCTAGTGATTGGCCCAAAGTCATCAGCTGGCTTTCATGCTTAAGGTGGGATTTGAACTCACAATCTCCTGGTGATTGGCCTAAGTTATCCAACTGACTTTCATGCCTAAGGCAGGACTAGAATGCACAGTCTCCTGGTGATTGGCCCAAAGTCACCCAGCAGTTTTCATGCCTAAGACGAGACTAGAACTCACAGTTTCCTAGTGATTGGCCCAAAGTCATCAGCTGACTTTCATGGTTAAGACGAGACTAGAACTCACAATCTCCTGGTGATTGGCCTAAGTCACCAAGATGGTTTTCATGCCTGAGACGAAACTAGAACTCACAGTCTCTTGGTGATTGGCCCCAAATCACCCAGTTGGTTTATATGCTTAAGGCCAAATGAGCAATCAAATTATATTAGCCAAAAAGGCATTAAGAGTTGTTAATCTAATCCTACGTAGCTTCTTCTCTGGTAATATCACACTACTAACTAGAGCATACAAAACATTTGCTAGACCAATACTCGAATACAGTTCATCAGTCTGGAACCCACATTACGTATCAGATATTAACACAGTTGAGAAAGTCCAGAAATATTTCACAAGAAGAGTTCTCCACTCCTCTACTCGTTGCAGAATACCTTATGCCACCAGACTAGAAATTCTAGACCTAGAAAACCTAGAACTACGCCACCTTTGGTCCGATCTAAGTATAGTATATAAAATCATACATTGTAATGTCCTATCTGTCAATGAATACTTCAGCTTCAACCATAACAACACAAGAGCACACAATAGATACAAACTCAAGGTAAACTGCACCAAACTTGATTGCAGGAAATACGACTTCAGCAACAGAGTGGTCAATGTCTGGAATACTCTACCTGACTCTGTGGTTTCTTCCCCAAACCCCAAAAATTTTAACCTTAGACTGTCTACTATTGACCTCACTCCCCCTTCCTAAGAGGCCTGTAGGGGGCGTGCATAAGCGCACCAACATGCCTACCGTCCCTGTCCTATTGTTTCTTTTATTTTTTATTTTTCTCATATGTATCCATGTATTCATGACTATGTTTTTACTTATACCTATTATCTTGTAAGCAATTGACAAAATAAATAAATAAAAAATAAATTTAATAAATAAAACAACTGCATTGACGGAGCCATGAAATCACCAAGGGCTGAGCTTCTTTTGATTGTTGGTCACCTCCATTTTCATTACTTGATTGGCAAACATGGGGCAGTCTGCTCAGTGTACAATGCTATTCAATCAAAGTTAAGCATCCTCCCCTTTTCTCCATGACCCGTAACAAATTCTCCTTGACTACTGCTTGAGTGGATGTCCACCAAAGGTCTGAGTACTTTGCATTAACATGTTCAACATGTAGCCTTGGGTCATTCCCATGGTCGTGATTTATGGTGTTCTTCTAGCATTGCTCTAATTATTGTGATGAGATAAAACCCATCTTTAATGCTGATATATTGGCAGAGCGATGCTAGAAAATGGTATAAGTCACCAGCGCCTAAGCTGGAGTTTCCAATGTCATATGCAATGCCATGTCATTGTACAGGATTGTATCATGCCCCTGTTGGAATCTGATTCCGAGGGGGAGGTCGAGCAGCTGACAGGGAGTGGGAGTGTGGCTCCGGTGGCTGTGGAGGAAACTGGGGAAGGGCACAGTCCGGCTGGGCCTTCAGAGGAAGACCCAGGGCCACCCCCTCTTCATCCTAGGGCATGCAGGGAGTAACGGATAAAGGAGCAACCTGGTTTACGGGGGGAGAAAAAGGCCCTGATTTCCTTCATTAGCTGCAGCTGGGAAAACAGGATAAACAGGGTGTTTGTGCACAGCTCCTTGCTGGAAGCAAAGCATGCATTATCTTTGTTTATCAAGTCTTATCTGGGTTCTGGCGTCCTCCCAACTGTATGTGTTTCGTTACCTTTTGAGTTCTGCAATTCCTTATCTTGCCCTGTCTCGTCAATTGCTGCAGCATGGTTTGTGTTGGTTTTTATTTATAATTTATATGTACTTCGGGTTTGGACTAAATTTCTTTTCTTTAAAAACTGTTCTTGGGAAAGTTTTTTTTCCAGCTGATGATAACTGGACATTGGAGGCCAAGTTGGAGGAATTAAAGGGACTTTACCTACTTTTGTGACTTTGTTGCTTTTGTGCCATGCCCCAGATCATTACAGATTGGGAGGTGTAGTTCTGGATGATGGGATGGTACGATTTGTCCATGCTACTGTGGTGGCCATGTGGAAGACCGTTGTTATTTCAAGGAGTTTACTGTTATATTTTGATTTCTCCTTCATATTAAGGAAGTTTAGAGGTGAAGCTCTCACCTTACAATCCAGAGGCTGTGAGTTCGATCCTAGGTAGAGTCAGATGTTTATCTCTCTGGGCACATTGAGATTATGTCTGCTGAATATAATTCCACACTGGTGACAGGAAAGGCTTCCAGCCAGTAAACACGCTGTCAGAATTCCAACGATCACCCTAATTAAATCATGAGCCTCGAGCCAAACTTCAAAAAACTTCAAAAGATTTATTAGGAG